GCTGGACGAACGGCAAGAAGAGATGAGGGCTCGGCGGAAGGCCTTGTGAGACGGATTCCGGAGCGCAAGGGCGAGTGTCAGGGGCAGGTATGTAGCCATAGACCACTTCCAGGCTCGAAAGAAGCGGCTGACAGCGTGGTATTCGCACGAAGGGCCAGAAGCCATGTGCACCATCTGGCAGGGGATGGGCACAACCACTGCAGGATCTCCCCAGGCAAGCGGCCACTCGTAGTCGACACACATCCCCTGTAGTAGGGATGACTGGCCCGTCTCCTTGCCATACTGGAACTCGCCCGTGTGGCAACGGCGAAGAGCCTCGATCAACCGTAAATCGACAGATGCAGCCGAGGTGATCCATTTGTTGTAACTGCGGGGAAGACGTTTGGGATGGTAGAACCAAGCCCACATGACAAGACCCGACGACGCGGCAAACACGAGGGGGTCAACGAATTTCGACACGAAACGTTCGGCCTAAGGGAGTCAGAGGGATGACATACTACAGCCAGACGGAGTTCAGGGGTTACCTTTGACCACTTCTTGGAAGCCACGCGGCAGGCCTTGTGCCTCGACCATAGATCGCCGATCACAACGTCAAGAGCGCGAGTGACGGCGAACAACGTTAGGTCCAAGGTTCGACCAGCGAACTTGACCTTTTGAGGTTCATCACCAGGGGAAGAATCTCCCTTTGCAGGCACAGTCTCTTCATATGCTCGACTTTCGTAACAGTGTAGTAGGCGAAGGCCAAACCAGCCAGCAAGGAACGTGGATAGCCATCTTGCTAGCCTGGAGAAGTGAATGTCAGACCAGAGTTAGAACGCCAAGAACTATGTTCTCACCTTGAACGAGCTCCTTCAGTGAGACCCTTGGCAGCTTTTTCCAAGATGCTCTTGATAGGTTCCTGTTGACCGGTTAGTATCAGATGAGTTGGATAAAGGCAGGCTTCTAGTGAGTCAAAGCTGCAAGGCACCACTTCTTCGGCACAGAGAAGGACCCGTCTTACATGTGAAGACTTTGAAGGATCAGAAAGGGGTCAGTTACCTGCAAGAGAGTGCCACCACCAACCAACACGGCACAAAACGTTGGAAAGCGCTGGAGGTTGAACCCTGTTTTCACAATGTGAGTTGCAGACTTGACAAAGGAGCTGTCATCTGAGTCTAGAGACAGTTGGTTGGCTGCTTTTCGTCTCCTCTTGGCAACATGTTGTAGCACTAACGTCAACAGCCGAGGAGCCACGGCAGACGCATAGCCCAGGAGATAAGCGCGGATCAGAGGCCGGAGGATCTCGGGGACGGGATCGAGCCTCAGGGGACCTTTGCGAGCAGGGCGCACATCAAGGGAAGCCATACTCCCCCCGCATACAACAGCAGACCGAAGCAGGACTACGGGACCTGCAGCCGGTGGGATTGATGAGGCGAGGCTAGTATGCGGAGGTGGCACTCAGGAGGTGGGTTCCTGAGAAGACGTTGGCGGGGTTTCTGGATACGGATGAGCGGTCAATTCAAAGACCCCTGTCGAGTGTAATGAGGATGGAGAAGAAGAGGGTGTGAAAAGGAGGTTGACAAGAGGATTAAGGACTTGGAGTGACGGCGGAATACAACCGCATCATGCACTGGGCAATCTGGACCTCAGGGCTTGAGACAATGGTTGCAGAAGTCTGAGATTGTTTAAATCAAACAATGAAAGATCAGGAGTTTGATCAAGAGAACTTCCTCTAAGGGCTGTGGAGTTGTGGAGACGAGTTGCAAGGCCGTTGATCATGAGCCTCGGCTCAACACCGAGGCTGCGTGTGAAAGTGGACAATCATGACAAGAGGATTCGATTCCAACGCGGCATGCTCGGAACAAATACAGGGGAGCTGAACTCTCGGTACTCGGGAGTAAAAGGCCTTGCCACTGCGGGTATGAGATCGTAGGCCCCTGGCAAGGCTGGAGGCGACAGGCTGGCATGGAGTCGCGAATCGGAGGGGGGAGGTATAGGAGTGTGGATACTGCGACTAACCTGGGGAATGGTGTTTTGAGGGGTAGGCCTCGACTATGAGCCGTACAGATGAAACGATCGCCGCAGGAAGGAATATGAACTCGGCGATGGTGTCAAAGACACGAAGAATCAAACGGATGATGGCCGAGCTGGAGGTGTGATGATGCCAGGAGGGGCGTGAGAGCCAGGTAGATCAGGGGACCGTTTAGAATCTGATAGGACACGAGGATTTCGTGTGTATGGATGACAACGCAAGGCACAGGTCAAGTCAAACTGTAAATGGCGTGGAGGCGGCGGAGGAGAGCTTGCTGCCAGTGCAAAGACGGGATGGAAGTTGGATGTAGGTGGTTCTGAGAGCTGAGATCATCACCGGCCATGCAGAGATGCATGTGGCCTGAGTTCCGCTTTGGTCACAGGCACGACGGGTACCTGCCCAGAGGCTCTGGGGTAATGAGGTGTGACGGTTAAAACGGGTAAAGAGCATGTGTATATTGTGAGACTGGCACGTGTATTTTGGTTATTGATGAACACATTGGTGCTCTCTATCTAATTTGAAGCTATTCCAACGTCCAAATACTTCATGTCCTTTTTACTCTGCCAATTTCAAATACCTAACAGTATTACCATACCCTGCTTATGCAGTGTTACACCCCGTACTTTGACATCCCCATTCAGCTAAGCCGACGCATGAAAAATTCGCACCCAATTCCGTGTATGTGGGGGAACCAGCAGGCACGAAATCATCCAGAAGCACCTCGACGAACAGGGGAAGCCAGCCCCACGACGAATTTCGGCCCTTGGACGGTTTTCGGCTCTTCTTCCTTGCCTGGATGCCCCGTTCCCGTTACAGAATGGTTCAGGTCATTCCGTACCAGGGAGGAGGTCTTGCTCCCCTACTCCCCGAGATGTCATGGAGGTGGTCCAAGTGGGAGCCATTCCCCTGCTGGCTGTCGCCGGTGTCATGCTGGCACGGCCCGATCATGGTCATGGGCTGGTCACGAGACGATGCAGCAAGCCATCAGACCAGGCCCATCTAGCCAGCTTTGACTGACGGGCGGCAGAGGCGTGTATGGAAATTGAGAGTTGGTTCTTTGGGTGATGCTTATTCAGACGGGATGGCATAACCTTTGTCTATCTGCCGGCAGACGATAGTCCCGGGTCAAGTGACCAGACATCTACCGCGTTCTCTGCCTATCATCAATGCTACTGTACACCAAAGATGACTCGACCTTCTCCAACCTCTTTATCGGCAAGTAAGAAGCCCGCCCGCCTGAGGAGGTCGTCAATAAAAGGTGGCGGAGTCGCCCGAGAGCTTAAAGAGCTGTAGCCAACGCCTGGTTTGCTACTGGAGCTGAGTCGTGAGAGAGCTGTTGTTGGCACTTGGGAAGCATGTGATTGTCCCCTAGATGCATATTCAAGCCAAGCACACATCAGTACAGTAGGTACGTCATGGCAAAGCTTCACTCCATGTTTCGGCTGTGTCGGGGGACATGTTGACGAATTCGGCTGCTGCAGTTTAACGATATCGACTCCGCTCATAAATCTTGTTTCGTTCTCTCGTAATGAATCCTTTTTGTTAGATGAATAAAGATTGATCAGAACTCGGCGAGACTCTTAACAAGGGCCAACAACTTGGAGACCAGAGATTTTTAGTCGACGTCGAATGTGGAACTTGGTGGGAGATGCAGGTGACCTCGCGACCCAGGGAGGGGGAACATGCTCTGTCAGGATGCAGCGCCAGGTTGGAGTCCATGTAGATGGTACTTTTTCAACAATCCTCTCCCAAGTTCCGAGGCTGCTCCACACGGCTGAGTCTTCAAAGAACCTGCCCAATTCGGATCCAAACTGACCAATTGACCCGCCGCAGGGGTCTAGGTCGCCCCTTCCCCAATATGTCCGGTACGCACCGACCAAGTATTAGGTACCAGTAACCTTGCAAGCCCTGCCACTTGCCCATAACGCTCCCGTCGACACAGCAGGTGCAGGTGGGCTTTTCGCCTTCCACCCTTGCTTGTCCTTGTCCTTGTCCAGGCCTTTCCTTCCTCTACCCACTCCTCCTCCACCTGCACCACCACCACTACCACCACCACCAGCTCCATCCATCCCCATCCCTCCATCATCCTCACCTGGACGCTCGCTGCCACCCGCTCCTCACACAGCCCTTTCTCCAGCCTTTTCCGGCGAAAAGCGCTTCGTTGTTCTAAGCATTTGAGCAAGAGTAACATCAGGCTCCAGTCCCGACTTCTTGTCTGGGACAGTGGAGGTGATGTGATGCATTGGTGTAGGTCCTAGCACATGCGCCATCCCTTCTGTTCCTGTTGCTCTCTAGTCGCTCTTCATCCTCACTAGATCTGCATATACCATCTTCCACGTTTCTTCTCTCCCACAACCGCAAACCGACGCTCCTTCTTCCTCTACTCTGCCTACATAGTTGTCGTACTCCTGGAAACCTCGTCCATACCTGCATCATCAACTACTTCGCTCCTCGCCGCAAGCCCACCACTGCATCTGGATCAAGAAGTCTAGCTCAAGCCTCCCCAGTCGCCAAGCACCCAAGACTACCCCACGAACCGCGTCCTGCCGCAGACGAGTTCACCTGATCAGCCTGATCACCTTCCGCGCCTCTGCCTCTGCGACTTCAAGTTTCCAAGCTCCTGGCTGATTTTCGACTCTCGCCCAAGTTGCCTCGCCCTGCGCTTTGCCTGAGGCGACTTTCAGTTTTGTGTGCCTTCTCGTTTTGAAGGCACCTGCCACTTCCGTCGTCGCGCTTGTATCATGTGTTAGGCACTTACTCGTAACTCGATCTTTCCTGGCACTTGCACGCTTCATGTTGGACGACGAACCACGTTCTTTCTGCTATCGAATTCAGCATCTCTGGCAGCCATCGCCCATCGCCATCCCGATTCAGCAACCGTACCTCTCCCACCGACTCTGGCCGCTGGCATCCACCCCAGCTCAGCACATCGCAAGAACCCCGATACTACAAAGACGCACCCATGCTCGCCGTACAGCAAGCTCCGAGGATGGGTTCGTCGCAGCCGCCCTCAGATCCTTTTCTGCCTTTTGGCTGTACGTCAACTAACTACTCGCCCCCATACCCAGCATTGTCTTGTTGCTTCTCGGAGAATATGCGAACTGTTTGCTAACTTGGAATGCGACTTTAGACACCCTCGACTCGACTCAAGATCCTCCTCTCCCCGATCCGCCCGAGCCCGCGCCCGGCGATCCGCTCCTAACAGACAATGACAACAGACTCCTGGACTCGTTCTTTCAGGACATCAATGCTGATCACTACAACATGCCCTCGTTTGGCGAGGGACTCAACTTCAGTGACACTTGGCTTGATCTACCACCACAGTTTATGGGGACTTCAACTACTTTCGGCCATCACCCAGGTTCTTCCCTCCCTGAACCAACAGGCCAAGGGCTTCCCAATAACCTGGGCGACTTCCACGGCATGATGCCTATGGAACCAAACATGATGCCGCCGCCTCCCCCACCGCCACCTCAGTCACAGCACCAACTAGACCACCAACTAGATCATCGACATACGCCCGACGACGTTCTTCATGCCGCCGCGACGCTGCTTCATAATGGATCCGCCCAACGGCAAGCTTCTAACGGAGTTGATGCATCCCTGCAACGACGGATGACAGCCCCCATAGTGGGACACCTTCAACATCAACCACTAGAAGAGTTTCGTGAAGAGCATCGACGCAGTGTAGCGGCCAGCGAGCAAGAGCACTACCCAGACTGGATGTCGGGACCACAGGAAAGGCGTCAACATCGAGCACCACCGGCTGAGTATCAGTGGGGATCTGACGCGAATTTCAGTCGAGTCCAAGGGTACATGCCAAATTCAGAAAAGGAAACGGCGGAATCTTTGACCAAGGAGCAGCTCAAGTACCTCGAGTGTTTTGAGCCGAGCCAGAGTGCCGATAATACGCGACCCAGCAGCCCGGTCCATACCAAGATGGCACCCCCTCAAAATAGGTTGGCACAGGCCGTAAAGCCACTGCCAGAGACAGACGCGCCACCGCGCAAAAGGCGGAAGAGCCGGAATAGCAAGGAAGGACCGGACGAGGATGCACAAGACGAGACAACCGCACCAAAGTCGAATAGGAGACGAAAGTCCAAGTTGGAACGGCTGGGCTCAACATCTTCTGGACCGACAGATGAAGTCTCAACAGGCAAACGTCGAAAATCCATGGCTAATGGGGCCAAGGCAGCGCGGGAGAACCTTACAGAGGAACAAAAACGAGAAAACCATATACGAAGCGAGCAGAAACGACGAACACTCATTAAGGAGGGATTTGAGGACCTCTGTGACCTTGTGCCTGGGCTTCGTGGAGGTGGATTTAGTAAAAGCACAATGCTGACAATGGCAGCAGAATGGCTGGACGATCTGCTCAAAGGAAACGAGGTGCTGTCAGCTCAACTGGCGGCTTTGGAAGGAGGAAAATAAAGTCGGTGATGCCGGGTGTGGTGGCTCTGGCTCAACGACAGTGATGAAATATTTTGGACTGGGGGATGGAATAGGCTGGAATGGACTAAACGGAATGGCAATTCCGGAACGGATATGGCGTTGATGAATGGGACTGATGAAATTTCTATATGGCGGGGGGCTCGTGTCTTAGTCGAGGGGTTCGGCTGTGGACATTACCTATTGTATACCCAAGGTGAGAGGTGGGCACGGTGTAATGGCGGTAATCATTCGTCTTGAGGGTAGAGAGGCTGGCTCAAATGCCGTGTTAAGGGGAGATGATGGAGTACACAATTATATGGCATGGCATGGATTCATGATAAGGGCGAGAATGAAAGCTGGAAGTTCAATTACGAAGGACCTAGAGTCTAGATGGCAATGATATGAGATACTCTCCCGTCGACACATGACGGTTACCTACCTAGCTGTCTGTCTGTCTGTCTGTTTAGTTGCTTGCTTAATGAAGGATTGCCAAGGGGGATGGTGAAGCGAGCCTGGGCAATCCTTCAGTTGATGGATGGATGCAATATGGCGATTCGTGGGCTTGGGAGGCTGAATTAAGCTCGCATAGTAGGTGCAGAAACCTGGGGCAAGGCTTGCAGGCATGGATTTCTCCGATGGTTGAACGGATCATGATTTATGCAGCTGACTCGATTTTGCTAGTTTGTGAGTGAGACTCTGCGTGGTGTTGAGTAACATCAAGAGCGATTGGTGTTGTTGAGAGCTCAACATCTGAGCATGTTGGCTTCAACATAATTGTCAAACGAAGGTCAGAGGATAGTTTAAGGAATACACAAGTAAATGCAGCGTGTATTGAGCCGGTTACAGCCCATGTTTGTCGCAGAATCATCCTCTTTCGCGCGCGGTAAGACAAGGTAGCTTAACGGGCCTAGTGTTTGATCGACACTATACCCGAGTTGAAGGATCTGGACTGTAATTAACCTCTGGTCTAGGGAGCAAAGGACGATTGGTTCTTAAGATGTCTTGTACGACGGAGGAAATAATTGTTTCTGTTTGCGATGCACGAAGGATGGAGATTGGTAAGCCTTGAGGATGGATGCGAGGTTTTGAGAAGGTTTTCTTTGACAGGGGATGGAGGTGAGACATGAGCATTTATCAAGGTATATATTATCTAGATTGTACTCTCTCTAATAGTCAAACAAACAATCAGGTCTCTACTCTTTCTGTTCTCCATTGACGCTGGTTGTCATTCATCGCCATGAAGTTCTTGTCCACTCTCGCTGGCGCCCTCGCCTTCACGACCACTTCGGCCTCGGCCATCGCGCACCGCAACACGGAGCGAACATGTATCACACCCGGCGCCATCCCCGACCTCAAGGGCTCCGACATCCGTAATGTTGGAGTCGTGCTCTTCCAGGCTCTCGACATGATCGACGTGTTCGGGCCCCTGGATCCCCTGCAGCTCGTCTCGCTCAGCGTCCAGCAGCTCAACCTGCACCTCATCGCCGAGACGCTTGACCCCGTCTCAACAGCGCCCGTCGCCATGAACAAGTTCAACTCGAGCTTCTGGCCAACTATTCCTCCCACGAAGACGTTTGCCGACGATCTTGACCTCGACCTGCTCATCGTCCCTGGCGGACCGGGAGCCCGGAACCCGAACCTCGGAGCCGTCACCGATTACATTGCCAAGATGGCGCCAAAGGTCAAGATCCTCATGACCATCTGCACGGGTTCGGGCATCGCGGCGAGGGCGGGCGTGTTGGATGGACACTTGGCTGCTACCAACAAGAATGCGTGGGCGACGATGAAGGCAATGGGGCCCAAGGTGAACTGGGTGTCGCCGGCGCGATTCGTGATTGACGGCAAGATCTGGTCCTCATCGGGTGTAAGTCTTTTCCTTTCTGGACTGAGTAAAGTGTGTTAACGTTAGCAGGTCACTTCTGGCTTGGACCTCATCTTTGCCTTTATCGAGACTTTCTGGGGCGCTCAGCAGTCGCAGCGAATCGCAAGCATCATTGAGCATGTTCCCCGAGCTGCGACGGATGATCCATTCTCACAGCACTTCAACATTACACCCACCGAGGCTCAGCCATGTCCCAAGGCATGAGTTTCTCATACTGGGTGGTGTATAGCTGAAAGGTGTTGACCACCTAAAAGTGTCTTCAATGTAAATATTTTGCCGAGGGCTTTAAAACCTAGACGGGATAGAATTAAAATAGAAAATAGAAATATGGCTTGTTCATAGTAAAGAATTATCGGAAAGTTCGGGCTTGGTGTCGCATCTCGTGGTCGTCTCTTGTATCATGGAATGTGGGCCATGGCGTACTCAGCCTCAGTCCAAGGATGGGCGATTACGTAGCTCCGTGCTTTGAGACAGGTGACAAATTGATGAGATGATGGGCAGGGGGGCGAGATAGAGTGCTTAGTGGCGAGTGTATCGTTTGATTCTTAACAGTTGACGGAATTAGAATTGTTTGTGGTGTAACTGTGGTTGAAGAGTTATCTTGACTGTTGTCAAAATGGAGACGATGTTGATGAGTGCTCATCTAAAAGTCAACAAGCTTTAATTACATTACCAACCCTTTTAAAATGCCTCAATCTCCAGGTATAGATGCCTAACAAAGAGCGGATGAACTGCACCTCATTAAACAATCTCGTGTCGAGCTAAAGAAGAGAAGGGATCCCAGTTGAGCTGAGCATCAAAGCACACACTAAAAGCCTCTCTACTCTAACCTTGTTATCCAATAACCAATCGATGGAGACGCAACCGGGGGAAAAGTGACGTTTTTCTTAATTCCCCCGCGCTAACCTTGTTCCTGCCACACCTTAATTCGAGCACATCCGACTCTTCTTTTTTAAATCGTATCCCCAAATAGAGTCAAGACAGGAACAATAAGTTTTTATACAGTTACAGAAATGGTATTGTGATCATCTCGCATGTCGCATTCACGGCACTTCTCTGAGCTGAAGCCTTGTCTTGCCTGGGATGAAATGACCCGCCTCGCCAAGACAGGGTCGTCGTGGCCTTGAGAGGGATCGTCACACCACCAGAATCCTTCGGATCGAAGATATGGAGACAGCAGATGGGTCCTGAAACATCCTCTCTGCATGTTTTCTGCTAGAGCAAAGCCCTTCTGGGCGGAACTGTCCCCTCTGCTAAGCTTCCTTCGCTTGCCAAGTTCCCCAAGACCAAGTTGCGAGGAAGCCAAGTCCAGAGCCAAGCAAACGAGTACGTATGCTCGGGCTGGCTCCAGCCATACACATTCGACCGCCCAGAGGGCTGTGTAGATCTACCAGGGGGTGCACTGGTCCTCTCGACTAACACTGTCACTACCCACCCGCGGTATCAAGGTTTCCATGGAAAGCCCCCGCAAGTTTTTTATTAAAAATGTCACCCGTAGCCCGTCTACTTGAGTCCGGCAGACGTTGTAAATGGTGATCTCTAATGGGGCAGGATAATACCCAATTCCTCGGTCTTTACCTGCTTGAGAATAGGTTTGCTCGTACACTGTTGCACAACGAGTTTGTTCTGTGACACTCGAATCAAACATGGTATATCTGTCGTTATCTATACTCTTTTAATACTCAAACTAACCGTGGCTCAGCGCGACGATGAGAGATATCCCACAGTGGTCGACCCACCTCCGGATCACTCTCTACCAGAAGTGGTCACTGGTACTCAAGTCGACCCTCATGGCCGCGACAAGGTCGTGAGCGACATACAAGACCCCGGGATGATTCCAACATATGACGACGCGCAAAAGGAAGTTGCCGGAGGAGACAAGGAAACCAAAGACATGGCCGGCGCTGCCGGTGTAGGAACCAGGGGCGGAGAGGCAGCAGAGTCTATCGAAGAAAAGGGCCCTCGTAGAATCTTTGGCATGAAGAGGCGCAAGTTTTTGATTGTGCTTGCTGCAATCATGTTCATGTTGGTTGCTGCCACCGTCGGTGGTGCAGTAGGTGGCACCCAGGCCAACAAGGGTGACGACAATGGTAAAGAGGATGGAGGTGGTGGAGGAGGAGGAGGAGATGGAGATGGAGGAGACGGCAATGACGATTCAGCACCGACTACTACAGACACTGGTCCTGTTCCTCGAAAGACGGGCCCGATTGATGCCGACGAGCGTTTCCTGACTGCTGTTATCGCGGCAGACGACGATGACGAGAACTTTCAGGTGTTCTACAACGACCTCAACACAACAAACATTCTCTACCGCCGCATGCACGACGACGTTGGAGGCGCCGAACACACTCTTGACCTGGATATCGAGCCCAACTATGGCACACCTCTTGCGGCTACTCTCAGACTCGCTTCGTCCATCATGACTACTCAGCTGTTCTACGTGACGACGGAGGATAATGAAACGCAGATTGCACAGGTTACTCTCAACTGCGGAAACCTGAATGTTGATGATGATGGAGATGATGACAACGACGATGACGGCGAAGACGGCGATGATGATGATGATCAAGCTGGAGGGACTACGAATAGTGGCACAGCAGCCTGCGCAGTCACATCCAACTCCATCATCTCGGCAAACCTCACTAACGGCGTCCACCCAGACTCCAAGCTAGCAGCGCTACGTCTAAGCAACGACTCGACCCGCGTCTACTTCCAAGCCAGCGGGACAAACATCTGGGCTCTCAACGGCGACGACGCTGACGCTGAAGGATGGGTCGGGTCTAACCTTATGGGCGGTGTCAGGGCTGGTTCTTCTATTGCGGCGACGAGGTCTAATGCGACTGATGTACACGTCTTTTTTGTTGCTAACTCGACGGGATTCATGAGGACATTCAACCATGCTGATGCCCTTGACTCCGATGATTGTAAGTCATCTGCGTATAAGATACATAACTCATTGCTTACCTCTTCTAGCACAAGTCGTCGACGATGAGCCCGCCTCCTCCTGGCGAGCATCAGCATTCTTCGACGCAACCTACATCCCATCCCTAAACTCGTACCGCGTCTTCTACACGAACCCCTCATCCGGGTCTATCGTTTCATACTCTCGAAGCGGAGCACAGACAGGCTGGACGTCAAACAGTGACAATGCATGGGGTCGTCCGGCAAGTGGCATCACGGCTGTAGGATGGGAGGATAATGTTCGTCTGTTCTACTACCAGAGCAGTAGCTTGACCATGTCAGTCAACGACGGCGATGATTGGGATGATGCAGAACCTGTACTGTGAGGTTTCGAATGAGGAGAGGGATATGTTGAGTAAAAAACATGTACGAAGGGCGTTCTTGGGGGAGTTATACCAGATAATCAGGGGCAAGGAGGAGCAACATGATGTGCCCTTTAATGACACCACGAGATATGAAAACATGTATTTTTGATATCCCATAGAAGAATGACAACCTTCTTTCTTTCTTGAACTCTCTTTTTTTTATAGCTTTAGACGCGCGGGTCCCATTCTACGCCAGATCAGTATGGTACAATTATCCCTGACACTTCACACACGCCCTTTGACCACTCCGCGCACGCACGCACGCGTCCACGTCCCAATTTCCCTTAAACGCCAGGCTCTACTCGCCGACAAAATTTAACTGAGATCCATCTTCTCGCCGTTGCCTGCGGCCGGTGCCGCGCCAGTAGCCGAAAAGTCCACAGCGCCCGTGTTGCCAATCAGCCGCTTCTCCGACTCGCTCACAAACTTGACACTGCGCGCTGGGTCGTAAAAGAGCTGGAAGCTGCGCTGCACATCGCCAATCTCAACCTGCTTGGCCCTCCGCTTGGCTGACACGAGTTGCGACGTGGTGATGAGGTTGCTGGCATATCGGAGGCCTGCCTCTTGGCCGATCTTGGTCAGAAGCGCAAGCGCGTCGGGGTGAACGTCAACCTCCTCTTCTTGTGCTCGGATAGAGAGAATCTGCTTAATCTCCTCGGGGTTGTACATGTGTGTGTTGATGATGACCACTCGGTCGAGGAAGTCCAGAGGCAGACCGTGAGGGCTGCGGTAATCAGTGCCACGGATGCGTGAGTTGCCCCGGTTGCTGGCCATGATCACCACAGGCGCCAGGTCGTCCTCCAGGGCTCGGTTGATGTATGAGAAGCACTCAATATCGAGCATGTGAACTTCGTCCATGAACAGAACACCGGGGACGATCTCGGCCTTGCCCTCCTCCTTCCACTCGCCGACCTTGGTGTTGATCTGGTCTCGGATCTCGCTGCGGATCTCTCCTGTGTCGCCTGAAAAGAGGGCCAGGAAGCCTTGTGTCCTCGAATTGATAACATCAATCTCGTGCAATGTAACAGTGTGCACCACCTCCTTGCGCTTCTGAATCTCGCCATCAGGGCACTGCAGGAACTTGGTGTCGACACCCATAGCATCGTAGTCGCGTGACCGAGCGTAAGATCGGCCGAGCTTAGTGATCTTTCCAGAAGACTTGTCGATCGAGATGATGTCGCCGGCCATAACGCGCTCCTTGGTCATCGCATCAATCATCTTGCTGCCCATGTCGTAAACAGCCTCCATGTCGGTCGTCTTGATAGTCAGCTTTCCCTGCTTGGCGCTGCCCGTAACACTACGGTCAATCTGAATCTCCACGACCTCTCCCTCCATGATCTCACTCTCCTCCTTTATCCGGACGCCGATCGACTTGCGGAAGGCTTGGGTGAGGGCTTCGGTCTTGGACATCTCGAGGGAGAAGATCTCTGACGATGCGAGGGTTGTAAAAGGGACATCGGGGCCGAGGGACTGCGCCATTCCCATTGCAATGGCCGTCTTTCCGGTGCTTGAAGCATGTCAGCGCGCGTCGCAAAAACAATGACGCTGAACCAACCTGGGAGGACCGGCGATGAGAACTGCGCGGCCAGCAATCTTGCCTTCTTTGATCATCTGGAGGATAACGGCAGCAGCCTTCCGCGCCTTCTCCTGTCCAACAAGACCCTGAGAGGCAGCTCTAGGTTCCAGGGTTGTAGCATCGACGCCGAGGCCGCGAATGTGGGAATGGGCTGCGATGAGGTTCAGACCTCGAAGGTCCTTAGACTCTGACACGGTCATCACGGGCTGTCGTATGCATCGTCAGCGATCAATCGCATATTAAAACAAGTCGCAATACTCACAGCAGCCATCTTGTCGCGTGTTTTGCGCAAAAAATGTCTGGGATTATGAAGTGTTGTAGTGCAAGGCTATGGCAATGACAGAGGAAGCCAGCAGGATGAGGCTGGAAGCTCGCGAGCTCCTGTTGCACCTGGGAAAAAAAGGCATGCACGCGGCTCGCGCCTAGCTGCGCCACATTCCTAGCGCGCACCGCCACATCTCCAAAGCTCCAATGTCTCTTACCTACGGGATACCTAAGTCAGTGACAAGAGCACTGTGTACGGAAAAGCGTGGTACCCCATCTGGCTTTTCGGATGGAATAGAGACCTCTTGTGAAACCTTGGGGCTTCCATCTGTTGGAGAAACAAAAACGCCATGCGCTGTTTGTTCCACAGACCGGAGTCCAACATGCAGCTTGCCTGTGCAAGGGTCTCTAGGCTCGTTTACAAAGTCACTATTGTAATAGTACGTACTGCGGAACGCAGTTCAACGGAATGGAACTACCTGGACCTACAGTAAAGGCTAGCCGAATTAGATTGCACAGCAACCTATTCGAAACCTCATTAACCGGCAATGACAAGCTTAGATGCACCTTCCCGCTCTCTCGTTGCTCTCATACGATTCCTACAAGCAGCCCGCCGCAGCTTCCTCCATGATTCCATGACGGCTAGGGGAGGGGGGGCCAGCTGGATGGATGCCGGCAGGTGCGAGGGACCGCACTGGCAGTGGCGGCCAGTTGGCGCCTGCCTCGCTCCCCAACTCGCAAACCGTCCACCTCCACTGAACAACGCTTCCCACCTTTCTTTGTCTTATGTTTGCTCTTCTCCCTTTTCTCTCTCCCATCCCATCACCATCCATCTAATTTCCTCCGTACTCTGATGATCTCCTTGCGATCATAAGCAGATCCTTCCTACATTCTGGACTCTTTCTTTTATAAACTTTCTCCACAGCGCGACGCGTTTATCGTTGCTCGAGCTACGCCCACAGTCTAGCGCGCATCTAATCCTTATCCCTCCCCCACTGTATCAAAGTTCCTGAGATATTGCCCCAAATATTCATTATTGCGCTACCAATCTCCCTACCCTTTTCTTTCTTCATCTGCGCCTTCATCCTCATTACTTCGCCGGATGTTGGCGTCCCCAATACACTGTCAGTGCCACGATGGCAGGCGTATATAGGCGACTAGATAATCACGATCGCCGAAGATCCTCGGATTACTACGACCGCCGCGACGACCGTGAACGAACATCCAGAGACGTCGATTACCGCGATCGAACCTCGGATCGATTCCACCGCTCCCCACCAGAACCTTCCTCAAGACGTGGCTCATACGAACGAGACGAATCGGTGCGCTCACGAGACAGGGATAGAGATAGGGATTCAGAAAGGGACAACAAAACGGCCCATGAATATTCTGTCATATCTCCTGTCGAGAGGTCTCTCTCTCGAAACTCCAGCAATGCCTTTGACCAAGGTCAGTACACATTGATGTCGGAACAAGGACACAACAAGGCCATGCTAACTCGTGCCTGGCAGGGTCGAGAACACCGTCGTCCGCGGCAGGTGGCACATCTGGGCAGCGCTCACACGCCTCTGATGCAAAGCCATTAGCAGAGCTTCTGACCGAGAGTGTCCACTGTCGTATGCAGTTGCATCGCGTAGAGACGAGACTCAAGCAGGTCAAAGCTGACCTAGACCGCGCGCCTTCTAGGCCTTCAGACTTTGCATCAGCAGACGAGGTGCTCCGGAAAGAAGTGACCAGCTATGAGACTAGTCGAAACAAGTATAAGCATCAGACTGAGAAGGCCGACCATAGATTGCAGTCAGCTCTCGATGCCTACTTGAAGAAGCCACAGGCCGCCAGCCCCAACAGTCAAGCAGGTGCACAGTCGCCACAAATTGGCACGTTCCCTGGCCTCGATGCGCGACTCATGGAACTACAAAGGTCGACCTCTACGTTGTTTAACACACAGTTGACCACCGAAATTGGCAAAGTCAAGGAGTCCATCAAGGCACAGAATGAAACCAACGGGTCTGAGGTTCAGGACTTGAAGAAGAATCTCGACGAGGAGAAGCGCAAGAATCAGGTCTTGGAGGAAAGGCTCGATAGGCTCGAGCGCAGACTCGAGGGCATCAACACAGGCCAGGGTATCCGCATCACAGCAATCGATGAGAAGTTCGAGAAGAGGATATCATCCGATGAACAGGCATTACAGAAATTCCAGGAATCGACCGAGAATCATTTCAAACAACTGGCAGGCCTGGGACCTTCTGCTTCATCTGTTGCAAATGCCGACATCTCAGATCAGGTCAAGACAGCTGTTACAGAACAAGACAGTAAAATCTCAACTCTTCAAAGTCAACTTGAGCCCGTCCTTGAGAGCATTAAGCGACTGGAGGACAAGTCAGAAAGCCAGTCCTCTCAGTACTTCACGACCAAGGACGCAGATGAGGTTGTGGCCAAGGTGGAAAACCTGAAGCAGATGCTTGAGGACCAGGCCACAATCGCAGGGGAATACCAGCAAAAACAAAATTCTCTAGCCGAGGATGTCTCCTCATTGCAATCCACTATCAAGGAACAAGGGGGGAAGCAAGAGTCTCTTGATGGCATTGCCTCCTCTCTGGGGTCCACTATCAAGGAGCAAAGTGAGAAGCAAGAATCCTTAGCAGCGGACGTTGCCTCGCTACGCACTATCACATCGGAATGGCCGAGTGAGGAACTAAAGCAGCTTCTGGCAGAATTGCCATCAGCTAAGGATTTAAGGGGACTTCTCGAAGACCCGCCAGTGCCCAGAGACTTGAAACGTCTTGTCGAGGAGATGCCACCTGCTGAGGACTTAAGGAAACTTGTTGCAGAGGTTCCTAAGATAAGGGAGTCGCAGACACGTGCGAGCCCTAGGTCTTCTGAGACACCTATGGCAGAGGAGAAAGTATTGCAAATTATAGAGACCAGGGTCCAGGGAGTGGAGGGCATATTAAGGAAGGCGTTCTTTGCGAAACTCGGGGAGTTGGCCAATGGATTTGGGGAGGTCATTGATGGAGAGCGCAACAGGGTGAAGGGGCTTGAGACAGGTATCAAGAAGTTGGACGAAAGGGTCTCGACACTCGAACGGGCTGTGGAGTCGGACAACTCGGGAGAGTCGAGCAAGAGGGGAGTTGAGGAACTCTCGGGCCGTCTGGATAAGAAGTTTCAGGAGCAAGCTGTCGAGATAAACTCAATCCGGGGCAACATCGCCGGGCTGGGTCGAGAACTCGAGACAGTGCGCGGCGCTTCCAAAGGAGGGCTCGATGACGTGCAGATGCAGTTGACGCATCTCAGCGACTGGGCCAACAACCTAAGCACAAAGAACTGGTATAGGGAGGTTGTGCAGCAGATCCAGGCTCATGTACCGACGCACGTCCATGGTCAGCTTGACAACATCTCTTCGCGGGTGGAGGCGATTGAGAGACGGTTCAACGACCCTGACGGCTCCAACAAGAAGCGCAAGGTGACTAACGGAAGCCCGGTAGTGGTTAACGGCAACCATTGAGGTCGGGTGGCTTTTTTTGTTGGAGACGTGTGAGTGTGGCGGCGATATATGTGTGAGTGAAGCCTCGAGCTGGCGTTCCCATGGTAGCTTATGGTTGCTTTGTCTTTTTGGAAGAGGCTGAGGAGGAAATTGGGAAAAGGAAGGATATCGGCGGAAAGGCATATACCCTCATCATGAACACGGCGTCGCGTTAATATTCAAGCATTGTCGACTGTAGGACAAACCAAGTGTATGTATGTTTCTGTGTCATGTTTCTTGCTGTCTCGAGCAGCTGCGTAGTGATGCAAGTGAGACTCTGAACGCGGGGGACGTGAGATGAGGTTGGAATTGAGCGGGTCCGATGGCGGCTCTGGCTCGGAGCCGAATGATGCGCATTAGGATGCCGGGGAAGCGCCGACGGGAGAAGGCGTAGCAGGATAAGGCTGATCAATGAGTTGATAGAGGTGGAATTGTGCACATAAGGTTCTTCTGATGCCGTCTTTGTTCGGACCCTGGTGCAAGATGTTAGCCCGTTTCTTTGATGAATGCAAGCGCAGACCTGACAGGGCACGTGAGCAGATAAGCTCTTCTACCAAGACAATGGATGCATGGGCGAGTGCCGCTGCATGTGTGGTTCGAGGAGAGACGGTGGTGGGTGATGTGGAAGGTGAGACGATCGGTGCGATTGTGTCAGAGGTGGAAGGCGCAAAAACTCAATGGGGATAATAATAGGGCATCGGACGATGTGAAAGAGTACCATTTTTGGGATAGAACCACAGTGTTTCGTCTCTTTTGATCCTTTATTGTCAACGTACCCTCTGCTTCAAACGGAACATTGCCGCTGCGTTTACAGTGTAAATGCCCGCGCGCGTTGTGCCTGACCAAACAAACGACGAGTCAGCCATTTCTCGTGCTGCGTACACCCGAGCCTTTCTCTCCTTCCGTGTATTTCACCAACTTCACTCAACCCTAACTTTGATTGATCCATCAACACATAAAACAACAAAAACATCGTCATCGTCATTCAATCCCAGCACTTTTCGTCTCAGATTGTCTGTCTGTTATCACAGGGTAAGTTACTCGACTGACGTGCTTACCCCAAGCGCGCCCTGTCATGGCTCACGCCAATGCCGTCAATAGCCCGCTAAGAAAACGTGAGAGACAGAGACAGCCGGCACGGCACCCCCTGGTCTCCCCCCTCAGCCACACACGGGACCTGCCCAGACTGAGGGAGCCACAAAAAGTCCACGTCCATCCATCACTGGCTGACACTGACACTACTACCGCCATCTACCGCTACCACTGCCGCTACAACTCCATCAGCTACAGGGCCTGGCCTGGGCACTCAGCACCTGCACCTCCACGCCCCCTTGTCTCTCCTGCCGTCGGGTTCCTGTTTCCACCTTGACGCCCTCGCCCTTCTCTGGATCCGATCCGGGGGAAACAAAGCGACCGCCCTCAACAGACGAGGCCAGACCGAGACCACTTCTTCCAGGTACAGCACAGGGTGACTGACCTTGTTCATCTCCATCGCGAGCCGCATCAACGTCGCTCGCTACCTGCATATTTTCCCTTCTTCCTCATCCCCCTGTGCAATCGCTCTCTTTGTCTTTGTCCAATCCCATACCATTGTCGGCCCCTACACGGAGCTTCTGGGCTCTGATCCACTGCGCCGTCCTTCCCCAGCGCGCCATCATCTTGCGACTGGACTCGTCCATCGCTCGGCCCCGGTCTGCTGTGTGTTTGGTTTGGTTTGGTTCGTGCCGCCCCGTCAGGTCCGCCATCACCACCAGCATCATCATCACCATCGCGACGACCGGCGAATTAACGCCCGCCATCGCTCAACCGAGGCACTCTCCGACTTTCGTGTTTCGCGTCTCGTCGACCTAGATCATCGCATCCACACTCCCTCGTCACCTTCGCATCCACCGCCCTCGCTGCTATCGTCGCGTTCTCGGTCTCCCTGCGGCTCCCACGCCCACGCCCACGTCCCCCCGCGCGTCACTTGCGATCGCCCACCTTGACTCTTCGCACCGCCCGTCTTCGTCCTCCCGGCATGCCCACGTCCACGAACAATGGAAGCCGCGGCGAAGACGGTTCAGCAGCTCACCCAGCGCATCCTGCCCGAGAAACCTCACCACCTCTCCTACTCCCCCGACTGGCGATACCACATCCCCGCCAACGAATCCAGACAGAAGAACCCTGAGGAATGGGAAAACACCCGTCTGCAGTATTCGACCCTCGTGTCGGAAGCCGACCGCGGTGTCCTCCTCACAAGATCATACTACGACATGCGTGTCGAACCCCAGAAGCCGCCCCCTCGCGACGTGAGTATCCTCGCAAAGGGCGGCGGCGAGAAGAAGAAGTTGTCGCTCAGCGACTATAAGAATAAAAAGACTTCGGGTGTTGCCTCTGACACCTCCACCCCAGAGCCACCCAGCGCCCGAAAGCGAGATGTCGAGCGCGCACATGCAGACTCCAAGTCTATTCACGAGATCAGGAAATCGGATTCCCATCGCACAAGGGATTCTCATCCTTCTCTCGATACTAAACCACAAAAACACAGAGAAAACATTGTTGACATGAGGTAAGACGACATATTTGATACAGCTCCGTGCCTGGATTGAATTCGGCGCCCCGAGGGCTCATGTACTGATGTCCTTGCAGACTACCTCCGAAACCGCCAACGCTTCCGCCTCGGCCCGTATCACCAGACAGCAGAAAGCGTTCCGCCAACATTGACGACGACCACCGTTTACAGAAACGGCACAGGCCAGACCTGCCTCGTGCAGCCGAAGATCGGCCGCGACCTTCCCGCGACGAACCCCCACGCCGCAAGGAGCGTGATTCTCTGGCGCCTTCCGATTACCCTTCTCGAGACGGCAAACCAGCCAGCTCTTCATCGCTCACTAATGGACGTAGTCTACTCAAAAGCTCCAATGCGTCTGCCGCAGCTCGCAATCCCTCGCCAGCTGGGCGCGCACGGGGTGACTCAGTCAACGGCGTCCGACCCAACGTCTCAGGAAGCACAAAGAACACGCCAAACAAGAATGACCAATCTTCGCGATCGTCGGTACCCCCTCTGCTGTCGCCACTTCACTTGAGCTGGGACAGCCAGAAGGCGGCCGATAAGGGAGAGAAGAAGAGGGCTCGAGAAGACGCCGTAGATGGCACACGACCGACAAAACCCAAGAAACCCGAACCACCACCTCCTCTGAAGGCAAAGAACGACGCCAACAAAGACAAATCCCCTCTTCGACTACCTGCGCTACTGTCCCCAACCCTACCAAGCGCCCTGGAAGCAGAGCTTTCCCGAAGAAAGGTTTCTGCCAAGGTATCAGATGTGAAGGCGCAAGATGACAGAGACAAGGATGAGCGAGTTGAGAAGCGGAGCGAAGAGAGACCGAAGTCGACGACGGCCAGAAAGGCGCCTGTCGAGCCAGAAGAAGAAGCCTCGGGCAGCAAAGAGAAGAAGCGGTTGATTGTGACTTTGCGGATATCCAAACGCATGCGCCAGACACTAAAACGAATCCTAGCCCTCCCAACCGGCAAACGTGAACGCTCGGTCAGCACTGAGGCGCCACCTGCTCAGGCCAAGAAGCGTCCCATCACATCTGAGAACACGGGTGACACAATAGCTGTCAAACGACCCCGTATGCCGTCCGTCTCGAGTCTCCCACCGCCGCCTTCAACACCGTCCAAGAAGGGCACGACTGCCATGTCCCGTGTCAGCTCGAGCAACTCACAAGCTCATACCCCTGGCGAGATAACCAACGCAACACCTGTTCCCCCCGGATCGTCAGATCGTCCAACCACCAACGGTACCGATGCCCCTCGAGGCGAGAAAGCCGACCCCCGGATGACATTTGACAAACATGTTCGCTTCTCAGACTTGGGTCGGCGACTTAAGCATGAAGGCGATGTCGCGAACAAGCATAGCATGAAGCTTGCTGCCGGTGACGCGCGGGCTAGTGAGTCGAACCGCAAGAAGTACTTTGCCCTCGCGGTAGAGAGCACCATTGCCTTTATGACCAGTTTCCACCTCCTCAACGTCAGTCGCAACCTACAGAGCAAGCCGTGTGATCCAAGCGGCTGGTCCAGCTTGATCAAGATGGTCGACTACCTCTCGAAGGAGATACGTCGGGACTCGCGGCGATACCCACCGATATTTGCCCTTGTCCTGATACTACAGGCTGTGGCGGCGGACGAGTTCATCAAGTCATTCAGCAACTTCGAGCATATCACCAAAGAGGAGATTTATCAGCACCAAGCCACTCGCTTCCGCAACTGGCCCACGGTGCGCGAGGTCTACGACACAGTTGACAGTTCCAACCTGCGAGCGGACATCACCCCTTGGTCTACCGTCGACGAAGTCTGCCAGGCATCGATGCGTGTCATTCGGCAGTGGTGTGTTGACGAGAATGTTGATTGGACTCCCGAGTTTAATCCCAGGGAGGCCAGCATCAGAGTCAGCCGATGACCAGATACACCGGGCTTTACATACCCTCGCGCAGAGCATACACTACAGTTATTCTACGACCAAGACTTGATTACATGTATTATGACCACAATTACAACATCCATCTGCTCCTCGTAGCAGACATACACCGAGGGCTTTCCCGGAAGAGGGCTTATCACCAGCCTTGACTTGATCGACAGCGCAGCAACCAAACACTGGTATTGCAGTAGCGAGCGAAGCAGCATACACAGCGCATCGACAGCATTGAGAGTACGTCATTACCCATATGGCTAGCTCTTGTCGCATGGTTATGATTCTCAACTCGCAGGGCTGGAATTTTGTTGAGATTTTGTTGCATTCTCGCTGGACCTCTGACGGTCAACGTCCCTCATGAGAAGCAAGACTTTTTGATTTGTACAATGATATCCCCCGGATCAAAACGGAAAGCGATCTATTTATTTCATCACACTCACGGGAACACGGGAATTCAGTGTCTGTGTGTTTCACCACGGACTTTTATTTGTTTTTGGCAAGGGGAGGAGGGTGCCAGTGGAGTTGAGGATCAAAAAGGAGGCTCGAGGAGTCAGGAGATAAACGATCCACGGCAACGAGAGAGGCAGAGGGAGGGAGGTACGCATGGAAGGCATCTCAGGAGGAACTTGATATCATGGAACACGCAGGCAGGCATGTAATCCGCATGGGCTGCGGAGATGGAGGGATACGACACGAAGAGTATCCTCTTGGCTTGGTGGAGGAATCAAGGGTTGGCAATGTATT